ATAATTAGCAACATCTCAGCGACCTGTAAGTTGTGAAAATAATGTTATCACATTATAAGCAGTGATGTAACTGCTTATTATTACCGACTCCCGTTTTAAACCACCATCCACAAGAATCCTCCTTGTAGATGGGGAGCTCAGTGAACTTCCTTGCGGTCATGTCCAAATCTGGCTTGTAAAAAACCCTCACACGTCGGGAGGGTGGCACAATCTCCTCCCAGTCAAGGATTTTCAGACAATCGGCCACACCCTCCCTCCGCACATCTTGTTCATCATCGGCTGAAATTCATCATTCAATCAAATTTAAAAGATTTTATAGAAATGGATAATATATCCCAATTACTTAAACTGATAAAGTGCTACGTAGGACACATTATGAGACATCATTTAAAGGCTGTGTTATGGTGTTAAATAAATACCTAGTTTAGCGAGAATGACTGATTCAGGGTGTCCGAAATAGCTGTTATGGCTGATCCGGGCATAAACAACTTCACGCTCCTTCCGGGTCAGTTGTATCTCAGTGGCGTATTGCAGATGTTTGAACAGGTGCACAGCACCATGCTCCAAACCAGGCTGTAACTTCACATCCGCATGAACCTGATATCATAATCATTAATGCATCTTTAACCATAATAATATAGATAACCAGAAGTACAGAAAAACAAAGCATTTTTAATATTACATATTCAAGTAAGAAATGAAGAATTTTAGAAGTTTAGCATATCAATATAATTCCTCACAAATAAAGACTTTAAAGTCAAGGTTCTTAATCTATTGTTGAAGTTTAAATTCAATTACCCTGTAGTACACTTCTATTATGTACCTAGCCAGCACCTCGATCTTATGTTGGTGGCTAGGTTCGGGGGTGGACATGTGATAGCGGAGTATTCTCGATGCCATCGTCAGCCACCTTGCGTGACACAACGGCCCAATCTTGTTACCAGCCGATGCTGGATCAGCGTATCCTAATGAAACGAAAAAATTCTTTAGAAGTTAAAGAAAGACTGAATTTCAATCACAGGTCCCTCAAAAATATAAATGTTTATTGTAATTGTGATTATGAATATGATTTTATCATTTATGTCATAACATTCGTACCGTCCATGCAGGATATACAGAGTTTGTATAAATGCTTCCTGTCCTCGCTCATTGTTGCGAGAACGGTGTCAGGGAGCCTCGGGAAACCGGTGCACGGAATTCTCTGAAATGTTGTTATTGGTCGCTCCCACACCGGTTTCCCGATGGCCTTGCCCATAGACCCGTTGAATTGTCCGATTCCTGAAAGTTAACAAGAGTTAATCATAATATTGGTAATCGAGATGGAATTTAATATTAAACAGTCGACAGGTCGGGCCGAGCCCCAATCTCCTTTTATATCAACACAAAGGTCTTCAACCGTAAATTAGTATTAATTGTACATTGTTTAATTATCAAAAGTCATCACGTATGATAAACTTAGAAAAACCTTGGGTGAGCATAAAATTGAACAAGTTCCTCAGCCACCAAGGTCAGAATTCTGTTAATCTGTACCTTCGGTTGCTGGTCACTTCTAAGAAGTAATAACTGAAGCACTCTCCTAGTCGAAGGAATCGTTTGAGGTAACTCAAGTGGCTCTCCAATAAGAGAGGAAAACTTCATTTTTGAATGGAAAATTGTAACGAATTGAAAATGTAACGATTAAAATAATGCTTGCATTTCTTGCGTAATTTAGCAGCCTTTTTTAGCGTAATCTTAATTAAAACTGCTGCCATTGGTCGATATATTCTATCAGTAGAATAAGCTGTTGCAATTGGCCACACATTGTTAACTAATGCACCCTACTAACGCGTGTCTTACTCCGCAAAACCATCTAAAAGCTATACACTAATCCTACCTAATCTTACACTCAGCTCTTATGGCTATTCTACACTCATACTAGAACATTCTAAAAGATCGATTATTACGCTAAAACCCTGCTGTGTACAGCTTATTGGCCACTGTGTATGTGCTCGTAGTCATATAATATATATGTGTGAAAAGATGCCGATAATACTTCCAGATTATTTCTCGAATAAATTCACAAATAACCTTATAAAATAAAACATTATATAAATATAAAAAGTAGTTGTCTTTTCCATTTATACTGTACCAATCGCCGACTCACTTTTAGCATTTAGCCTCACCAGCGCAACTTGAATTATATTAGAAATCGTTAACAAAATATTTTACGAAAGTAGATCTGCTGGATTTGCAAAGTGCTAGTAATAACCAAAGATGGTCACCTTTTTATTTCATTACATTCCCAGGTAGTAGGTTTACGAAAATTGAAATACCAGACACTTTAAAAAAGCTGCCCAACTGAAATTGCACAAATTGCAATACAACTGCCACATAACACAAGGTTTTTATACATATAAGTTTATTTAACGGGTGATACTCGTAAAATATTTGTTCCAAATATTACCTTCGACTCGAGCTTAACTCGGCACACGTCCTGGTAGGTTATAAACCTACAATTTTGTTTTAGTTTGTCTACCGCGTAACTATACTTGAACCCTTTAAGTAATAAGTTGAACTACAGGATCGATATGTTGATTGTATCGATAAAACATGGATTTTGAGGCATAAGGAAGCATTGTTGAGTTCTGAAACCAAGTTTAATCGATTTCTCGTGCGATTTTAGGTCAGGAATGGTCATCAAAATAAATTTAAAACAATGAAGATATTTTGGTAAATTTCTAGCTTTCTGCCAGAAAATAAATTGTCGGTTTCTATAGGGGTTTAATTAGGTATAAACTACAGTACAGCTATACTTACACCCACATTCACATGCATGCAAGCTCACCTGGTCCAATGAGCGGGAAACGGAGAGGAAGGTCTGGTGACGTCATAGTCACGTGACCTTAGGCTCATAATCACGTGACCTCAGGCCCAATCAATTGGGTTCTGGCCTGGTCAGCCCCCTGTCACCCGATCTTGAGGTGACGTACGACACCTCGTTAACCCAATCAATGTCTGGAAGGCTGCAAATTTTCACATGCCAAATCCACAAGATTCTTAAAGAGTTGTGCGAGATGACGACACATAGAGGCCGCAGAATTATGAGGACTACCAGATCCTGGTGGAACCTAAGCGATCCATGATATCACGACAGGCCCTAAAGGGTTTGCTGGGAAGGGCTCTGGTTAGGGCTCATAGAGATTCGGCGGAATGACAGGCTGAGCGCGGCCCAGTAAATAAGAGCAAGCCAAACACAACTGTTGATACCTTAACATTTGAAAAATCAATTGTTTTTTAGACAAAACATTTTGAAAATATTATTTTTGTAACTTTAAAAATATCAGTCTAGTATGAAAATGTTTGTCTCGCTAAGTTTTGTTTCGCTAAGGTGCACTGGCCGTGCGCTAATTTACACCATGACCATTTCAAAATTCGAAATGCCGAATATAGAGAGGATGATAACTAAAGATAATGAGCTAGAACAGCACCAAGATATAGTGTAGGCACTGAGTCACTCTGATTTGGTCTAGTTTCTCTGGCACAAGAAGGAGCTTGGTGCGAAGTTGAAAATACCAGTAATTCGTTGGTTATCTTAGGGGGGCACCAAATCGTCGTTTGACTGTGGGACAATTTCGAAAAACTTAACTATGGTGCTAGCAAAACCGTAGTTGCTCTAGAAACACACTTTTTTAGAGATTTTACCGGCGTATCCTCTAAAATCATCTAATTTGGTCAATTTTAGGTAGGGGCGCCAAAAGGGGAGGGGCCGGGGCGCTTTTTCAGCGGGGGGGGGGGGGCAACAGGCAACATTACGCCACTGCTCATTACCGAGAATAGAATTTTCAGCCATGTCTCATTTAATGTTTAACAGACACGGCTAAAAAAGTGGCAGTGTTTCTGATCTTGGGTATTTAGTAAACTATGGTAAATTGATAAATTTGGTCCAGGGTTTAGTAAGGAGCAATTATGAATTACAAATTGTTATCAGGGTATATTGACATGAGGAGAGATGAGAAGACCAGACTGTACCTGGACAAGGCCCTGATCCCAGAGGCGGCTTGTGGGAGCTGGCTGGCAGTTTTGTTGGGGGTCCAATCGATGGACTGGGGGGAGGGGGGCTTGGGAGCCGGCTCAAGCTGATCCCTCCAAACTACCGATTACATTACACACAGGGCCTTGTAAATGTAATGTGTAACACTTTACAGGCGACAGCAAAACAAAAACTTATAACATGGGTGAAACAGGACACCACACGTGTACGATCTCAGCCGCGCAGTATCACAACAGTCAATAGTTCAAAGGGTCCTGGACCCCCAAATCGAGGCAAATCATAATAGATTACCTGTAGTGGGATGCGCACGATGTGCTTTGTAATGTTTACAATTAACTATGTGTTAAAACTGCGCGGCTGAGTAGTCCAGAGGTAGGATTGGACTCCCTACAACACAAAATTTCACGAAGATCATGCGTGCGCTTACATTAAAACGTATGATAGTAAACGAAGACCTTTATATTGCGATTTGTTATTTCCTAACACTATTACTAATTACTATTTCTATTTTAAGCACCAGCCACCAGATAATAATTTAAAGGCGTCCACTGACACCTGGACGCCCTCAATAGCCGCCTCTGCCTGATCCAGCCGTTAGTATCAGCCGAATTAGAAGAGGGCAGGATTAGAGGTTTTCAAGTGGTATTATCGATTATTGGCACTTTAGCAAGTTCCTGGCTATCCGTACATCAGACATCTGGGGACGCAAGCTTTGGTTAAGTTCATTGGCCAGTCAATGAAACATGAAATTTTTCAATTAAAAATATATACGTAGTTAATCACACCTGATATCTTTTTTCTGTTCATATAGTTCTAAGCACAGAGTCTGCTACCCTAAATAGAGGTCAAGGGTACTTGACCAGACAATTCGTTATAAATTAAGATTGATTGATTCTTTAAATTATTTATTGTACCATGAAATTTGTTGTGTTAATTTGATTATAAGTCTACATCTTGTTTTGAACCTTAGCAATAAGAATGGTTAAAAATGTCAAGCAGAAAGATCTTCGGCAGATGTTTCCAGCTAAAGTTAGTAAATTGAACAAGTCCCAAGATGTAGAAACTGACATAAAAGTATCTCTGAACGTTGTTGATGGGATACCCTCATCTTCAACAGATATTGTAGCAGAGGCTCAAGGTAAATTTGATTCCTGGTAAAAAATATTTATTAAGTAGGAGAGAGTGCAATTCTAAATGTCATGGTTAGAGGATCCTTGATTGATTTCTTTTCAATCATTTGCATAACTAAGTTTTAACCATTATTTGATGCTTTTAATGGTAATCTTTCTTCGCTCTTATGAGTAGGTCGATAATATAGTTTCATAGTTGGGGACGAAGTGAGAGTCTCCACTCAGTGTTTTAAAACAAATAGGGGGGGGGGGGGGGGGGGTCCAACTACAAAAAATACGAACGCACCCCTAAAATTTCAAATTCGTATTCGTATTTTTTCGTATTTTTTACAAATCGTCATTTTGATAAATAGAAGATCACACATCTTCGTAATTAATCAGATCTAAGCTCAACTTAGCAGCGAAGAAACATTAAAATAAGGAGTGTTATAAAGTTGTTGTACTCTATAAGTGTATATTCACCTACAAGCATAACTGCTTGGCGTGATGAGGTACATCTTTGATTGGTTGAAGGTCTTTCAACAACACAGCATCATCACTTTCATATTAGTCCCCGGCTTATGACGGGTTCATAGCGGTATTAAACATGTTTTTCTGGGCCCAAACATTCTACGCTCCTACTATGCTATTACTGGTCTCTTGACTAACTCCCAATCATCTGTCCATATGGTATTGTTTCTGGACAAATAGATGGTATACGATGCCCTCAGGCTGATCTCAGCGATCTTCATGCAGGCCTTCTTCTTCTCTTTGTTGTTTACGTTCAGGTGGTTCATAAAGGTTGGGAGGCTATAGTTGTAAATGCCTCGAGCTCCCACTTCTACTGTCTGGAGCTTGCAAGCCCATCCGTTGGCTTCTATCTCTTCTCACTTCTGTCAGCTGCTGATATCTCTTCATCTTTCGCTTCTCTTGATCAGCAAAGTTCTGCTCATTTCCACAAGTCAGCTCCATTTGTTTATTGCTCTGATGTATGCAATGAAATCACGATGGTTGTTATCAATCTATCTGAAAACGTATATAATTTGTAATGCAATACATTATAGAATAAATGCAATTAGAAATATCAATAACAGTTCCTATCTTACTAGAAAGATTAACTGAAAACTATACTAGGAAAAGCTAAGCACAGTTACAAAGTGTAACACTCTACTCACCACAGTAGAGTTCAGGGTGATCTTGCTAAAGGGGAAAGATTGGTTAGAACAATCTCCACCCTATCTAAGTCTAAAATATAAAAGTTAAAACCCCAGAGGTATGGAACTACTAACTGTGATAGATAAATCAATTCAAAAGTCTAAAACAACAACAACATCGATTCAAAAGTATAAAAGGCTTGTTAAAAAAAACAACTTAGAAGAATAAGCTAAATATTGAATAAATTAATAATTTAACAATGTCCATTAAAATGTTATAAAATTTTGTTCATTACAATGTTAAAAGGCATTCTGAAGTATGGTGAGTTCTCAAGTCTCAAGAGCCTACTCCGTTGGGTCCAGGTCAGTTTGTAGTAAACTGCAAACCTTTAATATCTGTAGCCTAATTTCTCAATCCTCAGTCCTTACAAAGGATGCTTTCATCCTTAATCCTATACTTCTCTCTAAACAGACTGCCCAGACAAAAATATAGAGAAACACTCAAGATAGGTAGAACTTAACACATTCAGAAATACCAGTCTAGTTGTAGTATGTGCTTGGCACTGTTCTCAGGACAAAAACTTCTTCAGACATCATCTCGGCAAACTTGATACTCTCTTCATTTCCATTGGGTTCAGCTATGGGAGGAGGTTCAGGAGGGTCTTTCTCAAGTAGCCAGTCTACTTTGTCTAAATTGACCCCGGAAAAACTTCCGTCTTCTGAAATGACATTCCAGTAGTTCTTGTTCATGCTGTTGACAGTGTTTCCTCTAGACTTAAGCTGAACTTTGTGCCATGTATCCGAATCAGGTTCTTGGAATACCACTGTGTCTCCTTCAATTACTGCAGTTATCAAGCCTTCATTTTTCTTCATAGGTTTCCTTGCCTTTGGAGGTTTCTTTGTTTGTTCCACTTCTTCAGTAGTTCTCTCAATAGTTGTTTCTGGAGTGTCTTTAACTTCAACTATTGTAGGCTCTGCAGTTCCACCAGGTAGGTTGTTTGTTGTTTCCTGTGGTTCTTCTTGATCTGTCGTTCTAGTAATGGTTTGGATCTCAGGTTTTACTTGAGCACTTATCTCTTCAGGATCAAGATTTGGAATGTTGAAGTCTCTTAGAGTAGAATTATGATCAGAGTTTGTTTCTTGAGCTCTGGCTTGAGATCTCTCTTTACTATTCATCTGCTTATCTGCTTCTTGTTTTGGAACCATCACGTTTTCTTCATGGATTGGGATCGCATAGTGACCTGATTTAGTCAACTCTAGCTTGTAATCTTCTCCACGGATGGTAATGGTGTCTGTCTCGAAATTAAGTTGTACTCCCATGCACTTCATTGACTTCAAAGATAATAGAAGAGGTATGTCACTGTTAACGATGTGTACTTCAAGCCGAATTTTGTGGGTACAAATTGTGACTGGGATGATCACTTTCTTAGAAGATTCTAGGGTTCCTACTCCAAATCTAAAGATGATTTCTGCTGGGAATTCTTTAACGGTGCTTCTTGTCTCGTCATCTAGAGAATCTAGAAAGCATGAATACCAGTTTTCCCCGGCTACTGTTCTACTTGCTCCTGAGTCTAACAAAGCTTTATTGACAGTTTCTCCGGCTAGAAAAGCAGCTTCTTCTTCTTGACGGACGTTCCATTGGAAGAATATGGGTTTCACTGTAGGCATAGGTTCTTCATAGTATTCTTGGTTGTATCCGTAAAACTCTTCATTGTTGGGAATCATGTCTGACAGATAATAAGGAATCTGCTGGTTGTAATAGGCTGGGTTGGGCGGTCCTTGTCTGTAGCCTGAGTGTTGGTTATTAGGCATGGTGTGTTGTTGGTAAGGCGGCCTTTGGAAGTTCATCGGCTGTCTGAAAGGAGCTCTAAGAGGGCAGTCTCTGATCCAGTGTCCTGGAGAGTAGCACCCGTAGCAAACCTGTCTGTTGTCATTCCTCTGACCAAAAGGTCTCTGTTTTCCTCTAACATTGTTTCCAGTTCTGTTCCTATTGAACATTATTTGCTCTTCTGGGAGAGTATTTGAGTCTGTTGTCTCTTTTTTACCAGCTTCTGTTGGAAGTTTTCTATTGTCTAAAGCTAGATAGCATGGCTCTGCTTTCACTTTAATAGGAAGACTGTCAGATTCTTCTACTTTGGATTTATTGAGTTGGGAATCAGCCAATCTCATGAGTGATTTCTTCATATCTTCCATTGTCATAGCTGTGCAGGTGGCTCTAGCTAACTTCTCATCTGCATTGGACAGATTGGCAGCTTTTAGTAATTTATAGGCCAGCACCAGTTCAGGAAGTGTCACTCCTTCTGTCTTCAGTTCTCGTTCTAGACTCTCGAAAATCAGGATAAACTCAGTCATTCTCTGTTCTGAGTTTCTTTTTAAATTTTCAAATCTTTCATATTTTCCAAGAGTATCATCACTCTCTAGGTAAATCTCATCTAACTGGGCTATAAGTAGCTCAACACCGACTTTAGTCTCAGGTGGCTCAGCATCAGCCTTCTTGGTCTTAAGAAGTTCTTCATCTATGGTTAGAGCGATGTCTAATGCTTTGTCTTTGAGAAACATGATCAGTATCATTGCTTTGTGTTCCTCTGACACCGTTGATACAGTTGCCCATATCTTAGCAAGCTGGCGGTACCGTTTATAACCAGTCCCATCAAATGATGGTGTGTCCTTTGACATCCTCACAGTAGTTGACGTAGTTGTAGTTGATGTAGTTTGAGTTTTAGTTGACGTCGTTGTAGTTTGAGCTTGCGCTTGCTGCTACCACTGTTTATTGCTCTGATGTATGCAATGAAATCACGATGGTTGTTATCAATCTATCTGAAAACGTATATAATTTGTAATGCAATACATTATAGAATAAATGCAATTAGAAATATCAATAACAGTTCCTATCTTACTAGAAAGATTAACTGAAAACTATACTAGGAAAAGCTAAGCACAGTTACAAAGTGTAACACTCTACTCACCACAGTAGAGTTCAGGGTGATCTTGCTAAAGGGGAAAGATTGGTTAGAACACCATTAGATAAACCTTCTTTGCTTTATCTGAATAGATCACTACATCAGGTCTTAGTGGTGTAGCTGCAATGTGCTGCGGGAAGTTCCTCTGTCTCTCATCCTCATCAAATATTATCTTCCAGTCGTTGGCATCTGAAAAGAAATATCTTTGGGTCTTATGATGAGTTGGGTCAGCTAAGGTAACCTTCTCGCGCTTATTGCCTGCCTTGTGAAAGACCGACGGTGCCCTCTTCGATTCCTTGGCGATGTCGGAATTAAACTCTTCAATCTGTGATGAAACGGTCTTCATGATTTCACGTAGGACCTGATCATGGCGCCAGTTGAAACGTCCCTGTCTTAGTGCAACCTTGCAGAACGTCAGGATATGATTGAGTGTCCCTTGTTTGCTGCAGAGTTTACAGTTTCCTGAAACGGCTTTATTCCAAAGCTTTAGGTTGCTAGGTGTTGACGCAGTGTCATGAATAGCATTGACATGAAACTTTAACAGTTCCGGACTAAGTTGATAGATCAAGTTATTCCACGTGGTGTCAAATGTCATTGTATTTTCCCATGTGAGAAAGAGGTTTTGCCGCTTTTTGTCAAAAAGTGAACAAATAAGTGTCTCTTCATCAAAGGTCCTCACCATGTTGGTTAGCAGTTTCCTCTCTGATGTGTCCTCATATCTTGTCCCATACCCGAGGCCAGTTGTACCAACTGCAGGTTTTCCAACTAACTCTTGGAAGTAAAGTTGGCGCTGACGGTCTTTCAGCTCTTTGGGATAAGACCACATCTTCTGTGTGTCTGCAATAGCCTTATGGTTAGAGTACACTTTTTTGATGTAGGGGTCACTTGAGTTACAAAGTTGGTGTCCTTTAATAA